TGTGTGTGTGTGTGTGTGTGTGTGTGTGTGTGTGTGTGTGTGTGTGTAAAAAAACACATGCGCACAGACACAAAAATGGGTCACACACTTCCTAGCTTCTGTAGGCTAAACATGTTGCACACACCAGGGGCTCCTTGCATCCCTCCACCCTCCCATCTCCCTCTTTTTTTCAGGGACTCCCTGCACCTCACCCCCACCCTCTCCCGGATGCCAGGGACTGTGTGTCCCCCCCCCCCCTCCTGCCACGTGCCATGTCCTCCCTCCCCATACCATTGTCCTACATTGTCTCTATGGCAAGGGCTCTGTGTGCCCCCCATTCCCTCCATCGCAGTGTCCCCCATGCCCAAGGGATCTGGGTGAACCCCTATTCCCCCCCCTTTTCCCCCATGCCCACCTAGGTTCTCTTTATTCACCTCTGTGTGCCCCCTCTCCCATGCCAGCGTCCTCCGTTCCCCCCCCCCCATGCCAGAGGCTCCGGGTCCCCCATGCCTCCTAGGTGCTCCCCCTATTCCAGGGGCTCTGTGTCCCCCCAGTTATAGCATTGTATATAGAGATACGCCAACGGGTTGGTGTAAAGTTTCACGGGACATTTGAGTTCTGTCTTCTGAGTCACCAGAAAGAGAGTAATGCAGCCATGGAACAAAGAAACAGGTGCCCCCTTTGGGAACTGAGGGGCCGGGCAGCACCAAGGAAGGTGTCTCCTTGGAAACTAGTGTTTGACAGGCTCCATGGTAACTCCCCAGTTCTGCTAGTGACTTTCGCCCCTGATCCCACCATTGGATCTGCATAGCTGGACTCTTGCATCTGTGCGGACTCCCTTTGAAGTCAACAAAACTCTGCATAAGCACAAGTATTTGATTGCAGGATGGGGGTCTTAATCTCTTTGTGCTTCGGTTCCCCCCTATATAAAACAGGGCTGATGAAACTCCCCTGCCAGCGGTATTGGGAGGCTTCATTTGGTTTGGGATGCTCGTAGGAAGATAGCCTTAATAGTATAAGCAACAGTGGGTTTTTATCAACTACGACCGCTTCTTATAAGGGCTTGTCTACTGTTGTTTTTGTTTCCTTTTTTAAAGGTCCCCCTGAGTTCATTAAAAAACCAGTGGACCAAATCGGTGTGTCAGGAGGCGTGGCTTCTTTTGTATGCCAAGCAACTGGGGATCCCAAGCCCCGGGTCACCTGGAACAAGAAGGGGAAGAAAGTGAACTCGCAGAGATTTGAGGTAAGAGACAGCCTGGAACTACGTGTGTCCACGCGGCTGCAGTCAGAGGTGTGACTGCAGCAGGTATAGACATACCTGAGCTAGCTTTGATCTAGCCGTGGCAGCATGGTCTTTACAAGCCCACCTGGGACCCTCGGTATGTATTTGAGCAACTAGCCCATGCTGCTGCTGCTCCACTGCTATTGTTACTGGAGCTAGCGAGATCAGAGTTAGCTCAGGTACATCGACACATGCTGTCGTCGTCACATCGCTGATTGATGTGTCGACATTATTGTGTGTGTAAGTATAAAAGAGCAAAGCAGACATAAAGCAGCTTTGTTACATGAATGCCCTAAGACGTCAATAAAAGTGTGTGTGTGGGGCGGGGGGGAGTTGTGAGTTCTCAGCCTTTAACAGCTGGGAGGCTTAAGCCGTGTGATTTTTGCAAAATGAGAGGAGACTAGGCAAATTTGTTGCTTCTTTTTAAGTGTCTGTTATAAAGCTGCTTCTTCCTCTCCACCAAGAAACACAAGCTGGACTGGCCCTTTTAATCTGACGTTTCTCCAGCTCAGCCAGCTCTTTAAATACACCTCCCCTATCCCCGCCTATTTTGGGGTTTTTTTAAGGTTTACCACAGCCCAGGGTGAGCATTACTGGCATACCTGGCCAGACCCAATTTATTTGTAATATCTAAATAGGAGGGTATGGCGGGGCCAGGAGAGGGCGGTATTTTGACACCCTTAGCCTTGACTGACAGCGGGACCGCTACCCTGCCAGCCGGCTGTGGATTGGGAGGGACATTCTGTCATCTGCTCTTCGGGCAGATGGAGTAAAGAGGGGGCTCGAATTTTTCATTTTGTTTTTACGGCCCCTGTCTCCACTTCTCCATGCTCCTGTTTCACTGGTGTGCCGGGTCTTTCGGCTGAGCAGGGGGGCTTTCGTTGAATGAAACGGGCAGGGGTGGGGGGGGGGAGTCAGGTGCGATTCAGTCCTGGGATCACAGGTCTTGATGCAGAGCCTGTAGAAGCAAGTGCAAAGACTGTCGTTGTCTTCTGTCAGCACTGAGGCAGGTCCTGAGGGGAAAATGCAGAACTGATGGGGGAGAAGAAAGGGCAGGAAGGGGGAGCTGCTGTAGCCGGACCCATGTGTGCAGCTGCCCCCTGTGTGGGCAAGACTGAGCATGCCCAGGACCCGGGCCTTGTACTCAATCCCTCTGTCTTCCTTTCTGTCTCAGACCATTGAATTTGACGAGAGCGCAGGTGCTGTCCTGAGAATCCAGCCCCTCCGGACTCCCAGGGACGAGAACGTCTACGAGTGCGTCGCCCAGAATGCTCACGGGGAGATCACCGTCCATGCTAAGCTCACCGTTCTCCGAGGTAAAGAGCACTCCGGCCTGTCGGTGGAGGGTGCCGGCAGGGTGAAGGATACCCGCTCTCTGGGTGATGAGGTCTAGCTACGGCAGTTCCCCCTTCCTGCCCCCTCTTCTTCCCCATCAGTTCTGCATTAAGACAGAAAATATCATCTTGCCTCTGTATAAATTCATGGTACGCCCACATCTTGAATACTGCGTGCAGATGTGGTCACCCTATCTCAAAAAAGAGATATTGGAGATGGAAAAGGTTCAGAAAAGGGCAACAGAAATGATTAAGGGTATGGAACGGCTGACCTATGAGGAGAGATTAATAAGACTGGGACTTCTCAGCTTGGAAAAGAGACGACTAAGGGGGGGATATGATGGACGTCTATAAAATCATGACTGGTGTAGAGAAAGTAAATAAGGACGTGTTGTTTGCTCCTTCTCATAACACAGGAACTAGAGCCACCAAATGAAATTAATAGGCAGCAGGTTTAAAACAAACAAAAAGAAGTATTATTTTTTTCACACCATGCACAGTCAACCTGTGGAACTCCTTGCCAGAGGATGCTGTGAAGGCCAGGACTATAACAGGGTTCAAAAAAGAACTAGATAAATTCCTGGAGGATAGGTCCATCAATGGCTATTAGCCAGGATGGGCAGTGATGGTGTCCCTAGCCTCTGTTTGCCAGAAGCTGGGAATGGGCAACAGGGGATGGATCACTGGATGATTCCCTGTTCTGTTCATTCCCTCTGGGGCACCTGGCATTGGCCACTGTGGGAAGACAGTATACTGGGCTAGATGGACCATTGGTCTGACCCAGTCTGGCCGTTCTTATGTTCTTATGAGGTTGCCATACGAGCAGTGGGTCTGAGCCACAAATGCCCACCTTTGCCTGCTCCCTAAGCATCCCTGATTCTGGTCAGCAGCCCCGGGAGTGCACCTCACCTGCCCGGGGTATTATATGAAGGGCAGCTCGCTGGGAGTGGCTCTGTTTGCAGCTGGGTGGGAGAAGCTCACCACTTCGTGACTACGTGCCACAGCACCCGTGGCAGCGTTTCTCCTCCGTTGCCTCCCCGTGGTGGGAGCAGGGAGCTATGCCCAGCTATCTCTGCGTAGATGGGGCAGTGTTGGGACATCCTTGCTGTTGCTCACTCCCCCCTCCCTCAAATGCTTCAGGTGGCCTTTCTGTCTCGGCCCTGCTCTCTCCTGTCCCATGGAAACTCCCTTCTCGGGAGGCGAGGGGACTACGGTGACTGTACATGCACCGTGGGCTCCTTCAGATTTATACAACCTGGTCAAAAAATTTCCCAAAATAAGAGAAGACCCCGTTAAATTTCAGGAGCAACTAAAGATGGTTATCCAGTGTTATAATCCCATCTGGGCCGACATAAACCAACTCCTGAGAGCAATGTCTTTATTACCCAGAGAGACACTAGACCATCTTTTTCATGAGGCTGGTTGGCCTCCTGACCCTGAAGATGGCATGAATCTTAGTCCAGCCGATTTAAATACGCATCGTACAAATTTGGTAAACGCAGTCCTCACTGTATACCCACCCAAAGCGGACTGGACAAAAATTAATGGCGTAGACAGAATAAAGGAGAAAATCCTGCTGATTATATGCAGCGTATCAAAGAAGTGTTTGAAAGGCATTCTGGTATAAAAAATGCTGTAAAGGACACTGAGCCAGCGATGGTATCTGCCTTTGTTCAAGGACTCCTCTCAAAACTAGGAGACCATCTGAAAGTAAATACGGTAGACTGGGAGGGAAAGACCCTGTCCGAGATTTTAGCAGTAGCCCAACATTATTACCGCCAGTTAGAGAAAAAGAAGGATGATACCGAGACCAAGTTAATGGCCCTCCAGATTCACAATATGCAAGGAAACTATAATGGTAATAAGCGGCAGGGAAGGGGAGGGAAATTTAATCAAGGCCCCACCCGACCTCCTTTCCAGAATATAAGCGAAACAGCATGCCGCTATTGTAAGCAAGAAGGACACTGGAAAAGCGATTGCCCCAATCGTTTTAATCAACCTGTTTACCCCGCTGCTCCACCGCAAGCCCCGTTTCCCCAAAACTGTTAGGACAGCCAGGAGACCGGCAACGTCATTGCTTCACTTGTATCCTTGGACCCAGTAGCAATCGGACTTCCTCCTTGCCTTAGGGCGGTGGCTGCAGCTGCAGCCCTAGTAGAAACCTCTGCTACTCTTGTCCTGGGATCCCCTTTGTGCGTTGCTGTTCCACATGCAGTAACAGCCCTGCTTTTAAAAGGAAGCACCCAACATCTTTCTAACTCTAGGCTCACCAAATATGAAATGTTATTAATTAATGCTTCTAATGTAACTCTTACTCGTTGTTCTGTTCTCAACCCCGCCTCCCTGCTCCCCATCGCATCTGATGGGGAACCTGACAATTGTCTCACTGTAACAGCGGAGCTCTTCACCCCCCCAAACTGATTTAAAGGATACCCCGCTCCATAACCCTGACCTATTGTTTTATGTTGATGGGTCCTGCCTTAGAAATTCCGTGGGCTCACTTGTTGCTGGTTATGCTGTTTGTTCTCAACATAAGCCTGTTGAGACCTACTCTCTTCCGGACGCCCACTCAGCTCAGGTCGCTGAGCTAGTCGTCCTTACCCGAGCCTGTACCCTGGCAGCGGGAAAATCTGTTACTATTTACACAGATTCCCGCTACGCATTCGGGGTAGTCCATGATTATGGGCAGCTTTGGAAACATCGCAGGTTTTTCACCTCAAAAGGGGGGAAAATTTGCAATGGGGCTTATGTGAACACTCTTCTTTCTGCTCTTCCGCTTCCTTCTGCCATTGCAGTTGTGAAATGTGTTGCTCACCAAAAGCTCTATGATGATGTTACCAAAGGAAATGCCTTGGCAGATGCTGCTGCCAAACATGCGGCCCTTTCCGGGTCTCCAGCTCCAATTGACAATTTTTGTATCATAATCGGTTTCACAATCCCCCTCCATAGCTGCTCCCCATCAGGATTTAGCTCTCATGCAGAATTCGGCCCCTGAGACTGAAAAAGTCCGATGGAGGCGGGATGGTTGTTCTTTACATCCGGATTCCTTGTGGCGCTCCCCTATTGGGCGCTTGGTGGCACCCAAGGCCTTACTCCCCTACCTTGCCCGCGTGGCCCATGGAGTGGCACACGTGAGCAAAGGGAGGATGATTGCATCAGTACTGCAACATTGGTATGCCCCAAATTTTTCTATATTGGCACAGCAGTACTGTAATTCCTGTCCTATCTGCCTAGCCCACAGTAGTGGCAAACCGGTACGAACCAAGCCTGCTGGGCATCCAGCCCCTTGGGGACCTTTTGTAAATATCCAGATTGATTTTATCAATATGCCTAAGTGGTGTTCTTATGAATATGTTCTTGTTTGTGTTTGTATGTATTCCGGGTGGATAGAGGCCTACCCTTGTGTAAAGGCCGATTCTCTTACCGTAGCAAAAAGATTGTTAAAGGACTTTATTCCCTGGTTTGGCCTGCCTGACTCAATTAACAGCAATAGAGGCACCCACTTTACAGGCCAAATCATGCAACATCGCAAATACCAGCCATCTGTCGGCCTGCTGGATTTGTGCCCACGGTCCAAAACATGCAGGGCATGGGTTCCCTCTTTTTGGCATCCCTGACAATGATTCTTGGACTCTGGAAAAGAAAACGTACCTGGCTCAGGCATCTGCTAAAGGCATACCCCCCACCTTTGCCTGGTACATAAAAACTACCCCCAGAGGAACCTCTTTGTGTATTAGAGCCAATCAAACATTGGGAACCATTCCAGTGGGAACCACCCAAAGTTGCCAATATATATTAGATTATAGAGGAAATAGAACCTTCGAGTTGATTGGTTCCCCGTCCACCAAAACCTGGTGTAAAAACCTTAATTGTTATTCTTATTCAATCCAATTAAATGGCTCGGCCTTGCAGTTATTTGACAACGGGTGGATTCTTAGGCCAAATTCTTCCCTTTGTCACACTAATACCACCTTTCTATTGGATGAACCCCCGGCCTCCATCCTATGGGCCAGTCTGGCAATAAAAATTTGGGGGCTCGTCCGGGATCACCGCCGCGACCCGGGCCGCAAGAAATGGGAATCGGCCATGGTGCGAAAATGGCTTAGCCGTGATCGTATAGTGGTTAGTATCCCCGCTTGTCACGCGGGAGACTGGGGTTCAATTCCCCGACGGGGAGCCATATTGCCATAAATGGAATACAATATCAATAAAAGGGAATATAGCATAGCAAGCTTCCCTGTTATTCTCAATTTGCCCTTTGCGGTTACATGCTTCCCTAAAGCCTAACAGCCTTGTGACTACAGGTAGTTCCTCTTTTCCTTTACCCTGCCTTCAAAAGTCCCTTTCCTTCAGTTTAACTTGACTAATGTTCAGGCCCAGGCCCAAAATATAGGCCTACCTGATCCAACCAAGTTTAGGCCCAGAAATTTTTCTACAACAATATTTATAGACGAATCAAGTCACCCCTGAATCTTCTCTGTTAAGCTAAATAGACTGAGCTCCTTGAATCTATCACTATAAGGCAGGTTTTCTAATCCTTTCATCATTTTCTTGGCTCTTCTGTGAACCCTCTCCAATTTATCAACATCCTTCTTGAATTATGGATGCCAGAACTGGACACATGGCTGTACCAGTGCCAAATACAGAGGTCAAATAATCTCCCCAATCATACTTGAGATTCTCCCTTTGTGCATTACCTGTTTTGGCCACAGTGTCACACTGGGAGCTCATATTCAGCTGATTATCCGCCGCCACCCGCAAATCTTTTGAAGAATCACTGTTTCCCAGGATAGAGTCCCCTATCCTGAAAGTTTGGCCGACATTCTTTGTTCCTAGGTGTATACATTTACATTTAGCCATATAATTTGCTTGCATCCAGTTTACCAAACAATCCAAGTTGCTCTATATCAGTGATCTGTCCTTTTCTTTATTTGCCACTCCCCCAGTTTTTGTGACATTTGCAAACACTATCTGGGATGATT